CCCCTTGGCTCGGGAAGAGCGTTGGGGAGCAAGAAACTTCCCCGGGGCCCTTCGCAGGCAGCGCCAAGCACCGAGGCAGCCGGATCGAGCGCTGTCAGAAAGAGGGAACCGAAGGAGGAGAAAAACAACCCAACCTCTTTCCCTGAGATTTATTAATTTATTTCCTCTCTTCCTTCCCCTCCAACCACCACCTCCTGCTTCTGCCCCCCCTTTCCCGGCTGCACGTAGGGAAAGTGGCTCCCTGAGAGGCGCTTTCCCGCATCCAGGGGCTGGGAGGCGCYACACGGAGGCCGGGGTGAGGGGTTTGCCTGCAGCAGCGGCGGCGAAAGCGAAGTGAAACTGCAGCCACGACGGTGTCAAAGGGCTGGGGAGGCCCTTCCCCGCCTCCCGGGCACGGCGCGGGCCGCCGGGGAGGGCTGTGCGGCGGCGCGGGCGGCGGAGCCGCCGGTGTCAATCAGGGCGGCGGGGAGCCGGCCGACGGGAAGGGACGGGAAGAGCCGAACGAGTCGGGCCCCGCGTCACGCTGCGGATGTCCGGGACCGGCCACGGGCATCGCTCCTGTGCTGCGGCCCCGCGGCTTGGCAGCCCGCGCTGGGGTGCGCAGGTAGCGCGCACCTCGGAGCGGTGTCGAGGGGCACCTCCCCGCACCACCAAATTCACAAGCAAGTCACAAGCTAGCGCCAGAAAAGTTCCTTGGTTCCCCTCCACAAAAATAAATAAATAAATAAATAAATAAATTTAAGAAAAGTAAAATAAAAATTAAAGAAAACGGAAAGCGAAAGGCTCGGCGGCGGGCGAGCCATGTGCGGGCACCTGCCCGTCCGGTGCCGGGCGGCGAGGAGAGGCTGGGCCCATCGCTGTCCCGCCGAGGCACTACTCACCGGGCGGCAGCGGCCCTTCGGAGAGCCGCGGCGTCCCCCGSGCCCGTCCTCCGCATGGGCAGCGGCTGCGGTGGCCGCGGGGCCCGGCGCGCTCCCTGCGGACGGGCAGCAGCCGCGAGGTGCCCGGGGAAGGGCCCCGACGGGGCGGGCGGAGCCGGTGGCTACGGCCGCGACGGGGGTTGCATAACGCGAGCGATGCGCCGGGAGCCGCGGCGAGGCGCGGGTTATATATAGCTGCCCCGTGTGTAGCCTGCGGGGCTTGATTCTTCTGTTGAAATATTATCTTTGGATGCGGTAAAAATATTTGCAGAGAAAAATCTAGACTCCTCGTGCATATTTGAGCATATGTTCTTGCAGCTCAAGGCACAGGGGCAGAACGGGGCATGAGCTCTTATCGCTGCTCGCTCCCTGCCCTGGTGCTGCGAAGGGAAGGGGTCCGCTCCCGGGTTCGCACAACGGGCCCCGGGAGTGGATTTCGTTGGGAAAGCGCGTGGGAAACGGTCGGAGCAGCGCGGGAAACGCAGGAGATGCGGTCAGGCTGCAGGGGGTCCCGCCCGCGGCACCCGCTCCGCGCAGCCCCGAGAATATTCTCCCTCTCGGGAATGAAGAGCAGCCCCGATGCCGGCGGCTGCTGCCCGTGCTCCGGACAGCCCCGGGCCGCGCTCCCGGTCTCTCCCTCTCCCCTTTCCGCCCGCAAACCCGCCTTGCCGCAGGAAGGCAGCGAGGAGTCCCCCCGGCCCCGCCGGATCCACACGAGCGTTAGCGGCTGCGGGGGGAGGTGGGACGACAACCCCAAATTCTCCAGGACGAGGGAAACATCCGACTCGGCAGAAAAAAMCGAGCGAGCAGGTTGCAGTTCCCTGCGCTGCGCAGGGACTGACCACTCATTCGTCCCTTTCCTGCCTCTCGGCCCGAAGCGGAGGCCGCGGCCGTTCCGGTCCGCGGTCGCTGGAGTGAATGGGCCTGGACGGGGCGGGTGGCCCTGTTGCTGCTGCTGCCCGCGGCCGAACATGCAAGGGAAGACGCCGGAGGGCGTCGGAAGGGGGACCGGGGTGAGGGGTCCCTCTGCCCCCGGCTCGCACCTTCCCGAACAGGTGGCAGGGGAACTCGGGGCGCTCTCGCACTGGGAACGGCTTCGTTCTGCGGAAACGCCGAGGGCTGCAGCGGGGGGATCCGTCACTCCTCGCCCTCAAGTGCCACCGGCAGCGCAGGGAAGGCGGAACTCCGCGTCCCGGCTGGTTCCTCCCCGCCGGGCCCTGGCGCCGGCAGCAGGTGCCCCTGGGCCCGCGAGCCCGAGTCGCTGCCCCCAGACCGGGCTGCGGTTGGGGTGGCTGCTCCGCGGGCGCGGACGGCGGCGGCACCGCGGGCAGGTGCGCAGCGGCCCGAGGACTCTTCCGCCCCGCCGTTCGCGCCTGCCCTCGGCTCGCCCGCCACCCCGGCCCCATCGCCCCTCACCGTGCGTCCCGGCAGGGCCCGGCCCTGCTACGCGCGCGCGGATTTCGCTCGGTGCTTCCCTGCTCGATGCCCGCGGCCGGAGCGCTGGGCCAGGCGGCCGCCGCCCCCGCCGCCGCGCGGGGAGGGAGCCGAAACAGCGGCGGGAACGAGAGCGGCGCCAGCAGCGCGGATGGCGGCAGCAGGAGCCCGAGTTCACGGTCGTTCACGTAACGGAACCCACCGACACTAACGGATTCGTTATGAGCCAGGGCAGGAGAGGAGAGCGGGCAGGTGAAAAGCCCCGCGGCCCCGAAGGTCCCGCGAGAAAATACATCTTTTTTCCCCAGCGCCTCATTTGAGAGAGTTATCGATTTTTAATATTGCTGCCGATTAGTACCATTATTATAGTAATTATTATTAATATTACGATTACTACGATTATTATTATTTAAAATCTGCAACGGGCGTTTGCAACGTAGGAAGTGAAAATATCAAATCGATTTAACAGCTCTGAACCTCAAATATCAAGTCGCATCGAGGAAGCCAGAAAAAATACAAGAAAAGAAAAAAAAAAGATAAAAGAGAAAGAAGAAAAAGAGAGGCAAAAGAGAAAAAAAGACAAAGAAAAAAGAGTGAAAAGAGAGGAAAGAAAAGAGAAAAGAGATGAAAGAGAAAGACAGGAAAGAAAATAGAAATGAAAGAAAAGAAAAAAGAAAGAAAAGCAAATAATGACAAATATATAGAAAAAATAAGAAAGAGACAAAGAAGAGGAGAGAGAAAAAGACAAGCCATCAAAATAATAAAAAGAAAAATGGAAAGAAGCGCAGAGAGAAATTAAATAAATAAATAGAGAATAAAGGAAAGAAAYAGCGAGAGAGAGATTAAAAGGAAGAAAATAAATAGACAATAAACATTAAAAATAAAAACGAAAAAGGAAATAAAGAAATGAAGAAAGATAGGAAGTGAAAGCAATGAGAAAAGGAGAGCCAGCGACAGAGAGCCATTCCGAAAGGAAACGATGGGGAGAACGAAAGAAAAGGCGCTCRGGCACCGGCCACGGATCGCGCCACTGCTTCGCGCTTCGGCCACCGCTTCCCTGGCCTCAAACGGCTGCGTTCCGGGCGCCTCCGGSGCGACTCGCAGCGGGGCGGCCCGGCCCGATCCCTTGGGCTCCTGCCCGGTACCGCGCTGGGGTCGCGCTTGCCGGGCCCACCCGGCCCCGCTGCGCGGCAGGTGCGGGGAGCCCCGGCCCG